CACACACACACACACACACACACACACACACACACACACACACCACACACACACACACACACACACACACACACACACACACACACACACACACACACACACACAACACACACACACACACACACACACACACACACACACACACACACACACACACACCACACACACACACACACACACACACACACACACACACACACACACACACACACACACACACACACACACACACACACACACACACACACACACACACACACACACACACACACACACACACACACACACACACACACACACACACACACACACACACCACACACACACACACACACACACAACACACACACACACACACACACACACACACACACACACACACACACACACACACACACACACCAGCATCTTTACACACATACATGCATACTTGCATACATACCTAAATACACACATGTACACCCACATACTTATATATCTACAAATGCATACACACATCCACAAACATGCATACATACACACACCCACATACATGCCGACACACATTACATACATACCCACACATGCACGCATACACACATATACAATCACCCATACAGATACTCACATACATACATAAATACACTTTATGCATACATACAAACTTGCCTACATTATGTACACACATACCCACAATCACACATACACTCATATACAGTCACACATACTTACAACATATATACATAAATACACACACATACAAACGCAAATATACATTCATATATCCACATGCATGCATATACACACACACATACATAAATACACACACATACAAACGCAAATATACATTCATATATCCACATGCATGCATATACACACACACCCACAATCACACACATACCCAGATAATACATACATATATACACACATATAGATACTTTTATACATACACATACATAATACATACCCACATACATGCATACTTGCATACATTCATAAATACACACACATCCACATACATACACAGCTACATATACCGACAAACATCCACATACATGCATGAATACACATACACCCATACACTTACACAGCTACATTTACATAGAAACATTCGCATACATATACAGACATACATAATACATGCACCTACATACATATATGCACACATACATACATCCACATATATACATACATACATTGACTACATATACATGCATACTCACACCTACATCTTTACACACATACATACATACCTAAATAGACAAACATGCATGCATACACACATATACAATCACCCATACAGATACCCACATACATACATCACATGCATACCTGCATCACACATACTTTCAACATACATAAATAAATATAGACACATACTTACAAACCTAAATATACTTTCACATATCCACATACACATATACCTACAATCACACACATGCCCAGAGAATACATACATACACACACATACATAGTTACTTGTATACATACACATCCATAATACATACCCACATACTCACACACATACCTAAATTTATAAAAAGACACACACACCACATACCTATACAGCTACATATACCTACATACATCCACATACATGCATAAATACACACACACATACTTACACGGCTACATTTACATACATTCATTCTTATACGTATACAGACAAACCTGATAATACATACATACATATACGCACCACATACATACATCCACATGTATACATACAAACATAGGCTACATCTACATGTATACATAATGGTAGAGGTTGCTGGTGTAATGCTGACCTCATCAACTATAGATTACCAATGTCTCGATACTAATTGGAGGTTAACATCTTCTGCTCAGTACAGTCTGGAAACAGTCTTGTTAACCCTGTCACCCTGGTAATGCTAAAAACAAAAACCAAAAAAAAAAAAAAAAGTTTCATGACCCCAGAGAAATTCCACTTAAGAATCCTTAAAAATGATTTTACAGAATTCACTAAAACATTAGAATAATTTTGTTTACTTACATGTTTTAATTTGTTCAAATTTATAACAGTGGATTATGGGAGTTATCAATAAACATAAACAGAGTGAAGCATACCATGGAATACATTTCCAGGGGCCCAAAACACTATCTATAGATGTATAGGGTGACTCATGCCATGATTCCCATGTCCTGTATCACTGAGTCTAATAGGATGATTTGATGTCAGCTTGGCTTTAAAAGTAGCTATGTAGTTCACCGGAAGACTCCCATAAATGCTATTTGTAACCAATATATTGATATCCTGACCTTCCAAATATTGTGAACATGACCATTAGCATTAACTGTTTTTCTTGTAGACAAATAAGAAAAGTGAAATTTAAAGGGAATTGGACCCAACCATAAGTGTCAGTTTTCTGGCTTCTCTGAGCAAAAGTGTACCCAGCATGGCTTACACTATCTTTCGCCCTCTCTGTAAATCTCCTGCCTTAATATTTCATTCTGTAGTAAATTCTGAGTTTGTTTTCATGGAAAAATCTGTGTATACATCTTTTATCAATGGGATACTTGGTCTACACCTTCCTCTTTTCACCTGTATCTCTCCAGTATTCTCTTTGATGTTCCTTCCTGTCTCATTATGTGACTAAGCCATGAAAATCTTTGCTTTTTTTTTTTTTTTCAGATGTGAAAAAAGTGCGGGTGGCCAGGGCAAAACATCTTGCAGAGAATAGAGAAGTGGCATCTCTGCTGTTCTCAGATCAACGAAAACTGGAATCAGCAGATGAAGAGGAACTAGGTCCCAGAGAAGGAGATGCAGAAAGACTGAGGAAACTGGCCAGGTTTCAAGCTGTTAAAACTAAGGAAAATAAAGAGGATGACAATAATGCAGTTACAACAATAATTGTGAGTAAAGTTAATAGTGAAAATAATGTTTTAATATAGGTTCACTTTGTTAAATGAAAATAAAATCAACGTTAGTCACTTATCTGTTATAAAGTACACTTCGGTAATGTATTATATAAAATGCACCAGTGAAAGTTAACAGTTTTCTTTTGCCAGCATTGTCTGTCTACCACATTACTATGTCAGTGGAGGACAGAATCAAAAAAGCTTTAAGCATTTTAGTGACATAAATTCCAATAAATTATACATTAAATCATTATTAAAACTTTTTTATCATTATTTGGTTGTAAATTTAGAAGAGAATGACAGTTGATGCTGGGTAGTTTAATTTCTTTTGTTCTGTCTTTTATCTCCCACTGGAGGGTAGGCCCTCAATCAACTCACAGCCATCCTTTTTGTTCACTATTGGTTGGATTTTGAGGTAAAGTTTTCTATGAGTTGAGATCAACCTTCTTCATTCCTTTCTACAGCATGCATGGTGGGCTGTGGTCTTAGTATTCTTTTCTTTCCATATGGGCTCCCGGTAACAGACAGACAAGGCTGTTCAAATTGTTCAGCTTTGCAGTTGTAAAATGAGGAAGTCTATAAATGTTTTTTACCTTGATATTTAATATATCCAGGTTGGTCGGTTGTGAATCTGCAGATATAATTGGGAATCTCACTGGTTGCCTTTACTTTCAGAGATGTAGTTAGCACTATTACCAAGGATAGTTAGCATCCTTTGGATATTTTCTCCAGGTAATGGCGGTGTGCTGGAAAATGAGCAGGCAGATAAACTGGCCAGTTCTGCACCGCTTGGTGAATCGATGTATGACAAGCTGGATGTTGTGAGGGCTCTTTAGGAGAGATCGAACAGTGCGGTAGCACAGATAGATCATTACAGTTGGGGGAGAATGGTGCTGTGAGGAGTTAAAAGGAGATCTGACTGTGGCTCAACACTCAGGGAAAAGGCGAATTGGATATACAAACAGATTGGTGCCATCGAAATTGGAATCTTTGCTTGTTACTGAAGATGGGGACGGAGCGCTTATGGGGGTGTTCCAATTGCTGTGATGTTGATTCTTAATTCAACAACTTTCCAAGATGTTTTCTGGGACCCTTTTGTTTTTACATTAAAGCCAATTATTTAAAACAAAAATTGTCTCAATGTGAATTTGAACTAAGACCTTTGGACCGGGAGGCAAGCGTGACTTTGATCTAATTCTGAGTAAAGTTTGTTAGCACATCTTGTGAATATCAAGTCTACTTAGCCTTACTCTTAGTTCATTTACTTTGTGTCTTTAACTAAGAAGGATAAAATGAAAGTGGCAAGAAGACCGAGAAACAGGAGGATAGTTTGCCAAGGGTGTTTTCACTAAACAAACTCAGCATGATGTAAGTGACACATTAGGCTGCAGACCAAAAACGTCTCTTCCATCTCAAAGGACATTTCAAATGTTGACCAGAATAAGCAGTACTGGCATCTACAAAAAAAAACATTACAAATAAAGAACCATTTTTAACCATTGGTTTATCAGACATGTGATGCTAGATCCATATTTGTAAAGACTAATTTTGCACTTGATAGAAGATGGGGTCAGTATCATGCCTGTAGCCTTTACTCCCAAAACATTTCCTGGTGCCTGTTTTAGACTGGGTCAAACGGGAGCCCTTGGTCAGTTATTAAAAATCTGCCACAAAATGTAGACAGTATAGAATATAAAAAAAAATAGCATTGACTGGTTTTGATGAAACCTTTATAGTTTACCTCAGCTGCTACATTTTGATAGCCTGAACATAGTTTACTTTCAATTGTGGTCATGACTTTTGACTCTTATCTCTACAAAATAATTGACAAAAGAATTTTTGAATAAATCAACAAAAAATTTTAAGCAAAGCTTGTTTCCGATAACAAATCAAGAGTGACAGAATGCATGTTGCGATAAGAAAGTCTACATCATCATAAAAAAAATTGATGCACCTACATGAAATAAAAACAAGAAAAACTACAAGGATTTAACTTTTTGTGTTTGTTTTCTTTTTATTTTAGGGATTAGATCCATGAGTTCAAATATGAACTATCCAGCTATACAGGTGTACAGCTTTATTTAATATATATTAACTTGTTGTTGATTGCTTCTTTATATCTTAACATTTTTTAAAAACAGGGTTACAGGAGAGACAAAACTGAAAGAACAAGGGATTACAAAACAATGGACATCTACAGGAACCAGACAAAGCATGATGGGATCCTATCAATGCTAAACTCTGCTATTACCACAGAACATGTCATTTTCCCATCCTTTGGCACAGCTGAGTTTTTTGAATTTGTGTTGAAAAATCCTTTCAACAAAGAAGAAACCTTTACTATAGAAATCACAGATCCAGAATTACAGTAAGTTCCTTGCATGCCACACACATTTTACGTGAAAAGACTCAATTGTTAATTAAGACTGCATTCTTCTTATTAGTATAGTCCATCCTGTATGGCTTTGGTCATCTTGTTACTTGTTTCTTGTTATCTCTATTGACATCCTCCAACATTACACATGACCCAGTCATGATGCTTCATCCTCTGGTGCAGCAGCCAACTTAGTGTCTCCATGCTCACCGCATCCAGTAAGAATTGACTGGCATATCTTCTTTCTTTGCCCCATAATCTGTTTCTGCATGCTCAACCTCGTTTAATACTAAATTGTCTCTGACTCATTTGTGTCAGTGTGGCTCGGTGATATTTGTCACAGGCGTGAGGGAAAGTTAAGTCCAACATGATGTGTATAAGGAGATACTCCGTACGTCACTCGGGCGCCAGTCCTTAACTATCCTGGTTGTACGGAACCTCACGCAAGACCCCTACAGCACGTCCTCGTCGTGCGCCACAGATAATGTCTCAAATGAGCATTAACAGAGCTGTCAGGGGATCTCGGAGTTTGGCGGCCCCCAGAGGTGAAGTGTCCTTGTGGCTCTCATCAGCCCGCCCCCAAACGCTTGGGTAAAGAATGTTATCAAAACTCATTAGGAACATGAGTAGGTTTGCCAAACGTACAGTCAAAATTACAACCCTTGGTTAAAAGACTGCGGAGCAAAGAGAACATTGTTCACTGCACATCCTCTGTTAACCCTCAGTGTCGTCGTCACCGCGCTGAGGTATACCACAACAGCAACCATCCATAGGCTGGCCATTCATGTACATCCTCGGTTAACCCTCAGTGTCGTCGTCACCGCGCTGAGGTACACCGCAACAGCAACCATCCATCGGACGGCTAAGCCTAATTGTCCGACAAAACTAGACCATACGGATCAAAATCTGACCATCAAAACTTGTATTGAACTGAAAAAGACCGAATGTCCACACCCAAAGACCCCACTCGCCCGAGTGTTGGGACAGAACGGATAACGATATGCCGGATACAGGATGTAAAATGCTGTCGGGCTAACGGCTCGTCAAAAAAATACAACGTGCGAAGAAAAAAGAACGTACCTATCTGTGTGGCCACAAAAGTACAAAACCCACGGGCTGCTCCCTGCTGACTTCCAGAGGGCGCAGCCCCTGTCGAGCGGGAGGCCTGATACGGTTGTGAGGTTAAGCAGGCATGTGCAAGACGTGACGATTCCTTGGGTGAGCCCAGAACCAGAGCGCCATGTGCTGGCTCTGCATGCATGGAAGCCTCCTTGGATGGCGGGAAATGCCCATGATCTGCCCCTGCCTTCCCTTGAGGGCTAACTGTTCCACAGGGGGCTGCCCCAAAGGGGTACTCCGAGGGCAATACCTGCGGAGAAGGAGACAAAGTGGACACCACACAAATCAGGCAACGTCTCGACCCACACAAAACAATGGCCACAGTCAACCTAGAAATAGGCCTGACGTCTTCCTTCGAAGTCGGAGTACAGCTGCCCATGAGGCAGGGAAATGAAAAACGGTTGTACACGCAAAAATCAGGTCCAGGTGAAAGCCAAAAGTCCAAGCGGATGATTAACCGGGACCTTCCACTGGAATTCACAGCCGGTGATCGATTAAAAAAAAAAAAAAAATTTGTGTCAGTGTCTCTGGAATGCAGCACATGCAGTGTGTCTGCCCTGTCCTTAATTCTTCTTCTGCTAACCACAAGAGACATGGCCAATCTATTAGCTCTTTTATTATCTTTGACAGTGGGGTGTCCAGCCATGTACAGCTATGATAGTTTCTTGAGGCAGGACTTCTGGACGCTGACAACCCATTCTAACTGGAGTATGCCAGTTTGGATCCTTATAAGCATGCTCATTCAGTCTATCACTAGTGATTCATGAGCTGCTTTCTGTTCCACAAGACATACAAGTGCACCTGTGACAGTTGCTATCTCCATCATCGTACTAGAAGTAGTTGAACTGATTTTCTTCTTTCAGTGTCATTCCAATCATCAGCTGTGTGTATGCCCAGCCAGATCACAACCCAAGAATCACTGAGCCATCTGTGTAAATGATAATGTCACCTGGTCAAACGTGTTTGTAGATGAGGGCCTTTTTTTTTCTTTCTGCACCAGCAACTGTTTTTGTTTGTCTCCATCATCTGCCCAGGTTGATTATTACGTCAGTGTGCTTTTGCATTCTTTTTGGTGTTTCTCTCCATTCAGCACCAAGCCTGACATGTGCCACTAGGTATATTTAGCTAACAGTGTCCTCTGCTTCTGCCAGCCAGGAGCATCCCCCCTGTAGGCATTTACTTTTGTTCACCAGTAGGCAGCTGTACAGAGGCTGATTTATGTCAGCAGCAACATCCAGGTTCGCCCTCACCTGGTCATTGTGTTTGCCCACAGCATTCTGTGTGGTGTACTGCCAGTCATTTCTGATACAGATAGTATTTTTTTTGTATTTCTTAATGCTAAACATTCTGTGAGTTGGTCTCTCTTCCTCTCCAGTATATCCTATCATCACAACAACATAGTACAGTTTTCCCATTCTCTGTGGCTTCTCTCAGGTTCAGAAATATGCACCATAAATAAAACTTGATTAGAAACTACCAAAAAGCTTTGAAAATAAATGTGGTTTGTAGAATGAAAAGTATAAGCTGAACTGAAAAAGAAGACAGTATATATGCTGGAAAAATAAAAAAACATCAAATATACTGACAGCAATACAGAAGGAAAGGCTGCTGTAATGTGTCTCCTCTGCACTCAGTCTCTCTTGTGCAGATTCAATACTAGCTCTGTTGTCTAAGTGTCATGTCACAGTTCATTCCAACCAAACTTCTTTTCTCCCTGTCACACGTCTTTAAATGACAATTGACGACAGCTGACAGCACTTCACAGGTTCATTGTCAGCACAGCAAAAGTGACATGAATCAACAGTAGAACTAATCAGTTACGCCATTCGTGCAAGCTCGCCTTGCTCAGGCTCTAAGTCTCCAGCCACGCTTCAGACGATGGACCCTGGCATGTACACGACTGGCATAACCAACGGGCCATAGAACACAACTGCTGTCCTAAACAGTAATTCAACACAGCTCCGCTCCTTGTCATTCAGAACTAACATTCACTCGATTCTCATCTAGATCCACATTTAAACTTATCACTCTGGATTTAGTTTCACTTCCTTTCAATCTGGGGTCCAGTCACCGAGTGACCTCACTCTCAATCTCCCAGATCTCGCATTCACACATTACTTGCTCAATTCTGTCTTTTCACCATCTCCCCATGAAACACGCTATTAGGGACTTTCCCAATTCTCTACTCAGTCATATCCTGACGTTATCCCTATTTATAGCATCATTACATCTGCCATGGCTTAACTGTAGTACAAGGCGAAGTCAATAAGTAAGTCACAAATGGTTATGGGATGGCAGAAACATGTAGTTGGTGGTTTCTAGAGGTGTTATTAGGTGAAAGCAACATCAGACTTTATGTCAACTTTTGTTAGGTGGTGCTAGGTGTTGCATGTGTATTTGCAGCACAGAAACAAAATGGCGACTGTATTTACGGAGTGTACCTTTAAGAGCAATGTGCTTTTATGCATTTTGTTTGTTTGTTGGCAAAAGGACTGCCTGCAAAGGACATTCATAAGAAATTTTATGTTTTCACTGACAAATATTTATCATGTAAAGTGGTGAATAACAGGGTAAACAAACTTTCTTAGGGAAGCTTAGGGTGAGTAACGGTGGACTCTGTAGCAGCTCAATAGGGTGCTCACATGATTCAGCATACAACATATTGCAGTTCGAAGAAAACGTTAGGCCTGCTGACTAGAGCAGTACTGCTCCTTCATGACAATGCCAGACCACGTACAGCTCGCTTAACTCAGGAGAAAATTAACTATCTAGAGTGGGAACTTCTGGAACATCCACCTTACAGCCCTGACTTAGCCCCTAGTGATTTCCACCTTTTTGGTCCACTGAAAACCCACCTTATCAGGAGACATTTTCCGAATGATGCAGTTGTTGAATGGGAACTGAAAATGTGGTTTAGAAAACAGAGCACACAGTTGTATGCAGCAGGTTTAGGAGGACTGATAAAATGATGGGACAAGTGCATCAATGTTGGTGGAAAATATGTTGAAAAAAATGAAGTGACAGTGTATGTGTAAAGAGAAACGGTTTTCAAGTTGTTATCCTTTTTTTTAAAAACAACCATTTGTGACTTACTTATTAACTTCCTCTCGTATATGACAGGAAAGTTAATTTAAGACAAATACAGAAGTAACAAGAAGGTTGACCAAGAAACACATCACCTGTGCAGGCAAACAGAGATCTGACAATGAAAACATACAGCTGTGGTTAAGCAGTAGAGGGAGAAAGTTCAGTAAGATTACTAAGCTTTGCCACAAATCACAGTTTTAAATAATCATACTTTCTTTATTAACCTAGATATGCATGATATTATGAATGACTATGTGATTGTGAAAAACATGTATCCAGCATCACATTTCCAACATGCCTTCATAGCCTGTTAGTTGGCTCAGTTTACTTCTCATGGACTGTGGTGAAGATCATGACTATGATCATCATGTCTTGTGAACTGACATAGTTTTCTTCACTTTTGTAGACAGAGTAGGTTGCAGTTTCTTTCTGTGAGGGTGGTTCCCATTGTGGTTAGGGTGTCCTAGCTCTGAGGATGGTTCCCATTGTGGTTATGGTGTCCAAGCTCTGAGGATGGTTCCCATTGTGGTTAGGGTGTCCTAGCTCTGAGGATGGTTCCCATTGTGGTTATGGTGTCCAAGCTCTGAGGATGGTTCCCATTGTGGTTAGGGTGTCCTAGCTCTGAGGATGGTTCCCATTGGGGTTAGGGTGTCCTAGCTCTGAGGATGGTTCCCATTGTGGTTATGGTGTCCAAGCTCTGAGGATGGTTCCCATTGTGGTTAGGGCGTCCTAGCTGTGAGGATGGTTCCCATTGTGGTTAGGGTGTCCAAGCTCTGAGGATGGTTCCCATTGTGGTTAGGGTGTCCTAGCTGTGAGGGTGGTTCCCATTGTGGTTAGGGTGTCCTAACTGTGAGGATGGTTACCATTGTGGTTAGGGTGTCCTAGCTGTGAGGATGGTTCCCATTATGGTTAGGGTGTCCAAGCTGTGTGGATAGTTACCATTGTGGTTAGGGTGTCCAAGCTGTGAGGATGGTTCCCATTGTGGTTAGGGTGTCCAAGCTCTGAGGATGGTTCCCATTATGGTTAGGGTGTCCAAGCTCTGAGGATGGTTCCCATTATGGTTAGGGTGTCCAAGCTCTGAGGATGGTTCCCATTGTGGTTAGGGTGTCCAAGCTCTGAGGATGGTTCCCATTGTGGTTAGGGTGTCCAAGCTCTGAGGATGGTTCCCATTGTGGTTAGGGTGTCCAAGCTCTGAGGATGGTTCCCATTGTGGTTAGGGTGTCCAAGCTCTAAGGATGGTTCCCATTGTGGTTAGGGTGTCCAAGCTCTGAGGATGGTTCCCATTGTGGTTAGGGTGTCCAAGCTCTGAGGATGGTTCCCATTGTGTTTAGGGTGTCCTAGCTGTGAGGGTGGTTCCCATTGTGGTTAGGGTGTCCTAACTATTAAGCTTTAGTGACATCCTAGTCCTCCACAGCTAATGTTTTGACCAGTTCTAAAACATTTCATCCACTGCCCAGCATCAGCCTATAAAGCTGCGATTTCATGGGCATCTTGTATTTAAAAAACAATAGTAGATATATGACTATTGATTTTTGTGTGACTTGATTTGTTATTTTCTTTGTTCAGTTTAATTGCAGATGCCAGGGAGTGGCGGCATTATAAACAGTTGTGCCAATTAAACACACCACTGGAAGAAGGCATGTTCACGTCTGCCAGTGCTGACAGGAACAAACCACAGATATTTCTGAGACCCAAAGAAACAGTGAACATTCCTCTGAAGTTTCAGACTTTCAGGACGGATGCATCTGTTCAGCCTCAGGTAATTGTATTTTTAACATTGACAATGCCAGATTCTGTGGTTTAAAGGTTATGAATGCTGTTTTGTACTGGGTTTTATTCAGCTGTAGGCGTTTTGACAGCAGATCATCTTGTGTTGATTAAAGCATTTGTATGAGCATTAGTGTTCCAGTGTTTATGTTTGTTCAGCATCATGACACATGGGTGTAATTGGTAAGTGTTTCCCCGTGTGGTCCAGTAAACAGTGGTAGTCTACTGAATGTAAAAATTGCTTAGTAAAATCACAAACAGGCCTTGAGTGCTGAGGTTAATTTGAACCTACTTTAGGGAATATGCAGCAGACTTTAAATGTTGTCAACACTTCACTGTTTCACACAGGCATGCCACCACAAGCACATATAATTGTATTTAATATACCAGATATTCATTAATTCTTTATTCATTGAATGTGTACAGGTTAACCATTGTTAGCCTAACCTCAGTTTGTGATATATAGTGGATGTACCGCTGTATTTGTTTTAATTTAAGGGACCAGTAAATCCATTCACAAAGAGTTCAAAACAGACCCAGCTAGAAAAAACCCAGGAATCAAGAATAATACAGGTAAACCTCTCCATTTATTTCATTTGATTAAAAGATGTATTAGAAAAATTATAGTCTATAGACTTGAGGTTTAACTCTTCCATAACTAGAGTTAAGGCACCCCATTCTCATCTTCAGCAGCCACTGCAGAGTTCTAGTACAGTTTCTGAAGTAAGCTATAATCATATGCATAATAGTATGATAAAGAAACTAATCAGGTATATGATGGGCCTTGCTAATAATAACAACACAGTTTTTTAGGGCTGTCTAGTTGGCCATTCATACACTCACTCTAGCAGCAAGGTACCTTCATCATCTAGAGGTGACAGGGTTAAAATAACACCTGAGATAATTAAAGCTTTCTTATTTCTGTTGTCTAGCATGTTCCCCTGTCTCTACTTCTTGTATCTACTTCTGTAAGTGCCAGTCAGTATATTACAGTTTGTTTATCAAACTATGTAAACAGGGATGCAGTCTTAAAATAAACTAGACTTAAAAAAGCAGCATCAGTTTAATGGCTCAGGGACCTAGGTACCTCTAATATTAACTTGTAATCTAATAATAGTGAGACTGTGGTCCAGTGACAAGTTGTTCATGTATTTCCATTAAAATGAAAGGTTGAATGCTCTTAGCTATTTTTGAAACACTCAGCAATGAAGGGCCTTTAGACACAACAAGATACATAATGGAAATGCAGAGATAGGGGTATATCCAGTGCACAACAGAAATGCAGAGATAGGGGTATATCCAGTGCACAACAGAAATGCAGAGATAGGGGTATATCCAGTGCACAACAGAAATGCAGAGATGGGGTATATCCAGTGCACAACAGAAATGCAGAGATGGGGTATATCCAGTGCACAACAGAAATGCAGAGATGGGGTAATATCCAGTGCACAGCAGAAATGCAGAGATGGGGTAATATCCAGTGCACAACAGAAATGCAGAGATGGGGTATATCCAGTGCACAGCAGAAATGCAGAGATGGGGTAATATCCAAACACAACAGAAATGCAGAGATAGGGGTATATCCAGTGCACAACAGAAATGCAGAGATGGTGTATATCCAGTGCACAACATAAATGCAGAGATAGGGGTATATCCAGTGCACAACAGAAATGCAGAGATGGGGTATATCCAGTGCACAACAGAAATGCAGAGATAGGGGTATATCCAGTGCACAACAGAAATGCAGAGATGGGGTATATCCAGTGCACAACAGAAATGCAGAGATAGGGGTATATCCAGTGCACAACAGAAATGCAGAGATAGGGGTATATCCAGTGCACAACAGAAATGCAGAGATAGGGGTATATCCAGTGCAGAACAGAAATGCAGAGATGGGGTATATCCAGTGCACAGCAGAAATGCAGAGATGGGGTAATATCCAAAACACAACAGAAATGCAGAGATAGGGGTATATCAAGTGCACAACAGAAATGCAGAGATAGGGGTATATCAAGTGCACAACAGAAATGCAGAGATAGGGGTATATCCAGTGCACAACAGAAATGCAAAGATAGAGGTATATCCAGTGCACAACAGAAATGCAAATAGGGAAAAACTCAATGTTGATGGAAACATTGAGCATGTTCATTCACTTCCTCATCAATACAGCGAGAGTCAACCGTGTAACTTGTTGCTAGACTACTTACTCTATTTGAAAATAGAGCACACAGCTTCAGTTCAAATGCAAAAATTCAGAATAAGATAGAACTTTTAGTCTGATGTTGTACTTTCTAAAACTGGGTAATGTGAAAAGTAATAAACAGTTTCTCCATGTGGGTTCTGGGGCCCCATTGTGTGGAAAACTAGAACACACCCACTGCCTCTCCAGCAAGCATGTCCTAGGAGTCAACTAATCTGGGGCATCCTTCAAAGTCTGAGTGTGTCTGCCTGTGAGGCAAGGAACCAATCTGATGAAAGTCAAGAAGAAGATAAACAGTTTATTAAAAAAATATATGGAAAAAATAGATCTTCATACCTTGACCACATTATGAAACATACTCAGTGATTAAATATATTGTATATAGTAAAATGTGGGAAAATGATTCAGAGAAACAGTTGATGACAAGATGTGCAAACGCTAAAAATGTGATTGCTAAAGGTTTGCCAGAAGTTGGTGATATTAGGGTGATTTCATCAGATCTCAGCAGTGCTGATCTGTACACTGACCAGCCTAATTATGGTGGTGACATACCAGCCTGATGATGGTGTTGACAAACCAGCCTAATGATGGTGGTGACAAACCAGCCTGATAATGGTGGTGACAAACCAGCCTGGTGATGGTGGTGACAAACCAGCCTGATGATGGTGGTGACAAACTAGCCTGATGATGGTGGTGACAAACCAGCCTGATGATGGTGGTGACAAACCAGCCTGGTGATGGTGGTGACAAACCAGCCTGGTGATGGTGTTGACAAACCAGCCTGATGATGGTGGTGACAAACCAGCCTGATGATGGTGGTGACAAACCAGCCTGATGATGGTGGTTACAAACCAGCCTGATGATGGTGATGACAAACCAGCCTGATGATGATGGTGACAAACCAGCCTGATGATGGTGGTGACAAACCAGCCTGATGGTGGTGGTGACAAACCAGCCTGATTATGGTGGTGACGTACCAGCCTGATGATGGTGGTGACAAACCAGCCTGATGATGGTGGTAACAAACCAGCCTGATGATGGTGGTGACAAACAGCCTGATGAAGGTGGTGACAAACCAGCCTGATGATGGTGGTGACAAACCAGCCTAGTGATGGTGGTGACAAACCAGCCTGGTGATGGTGGTGACAAACCAGCCTGGTGATGGTGGTGACAAACAGCCTGATGATGGTGGTGACAAACCAGCCTGATTATGGTGGTGACAAACCAGCCTGGTGATGGTGGTGACAAACCAGCCTAATGATGGTGGTGAAAAACCAGCCTGATGATGGTGGTGACAAACCAGCCTGATGATGATGGTGACAAACCAGCCTGATGATGGTGGTGATAAACCAGCCTGATGGTGGTGGTGACAAACCAGCCTGATTATGGTGGTGACGTACCAGCCTGATGATGGTGGTGACAAACCAGCCTGATGATGGTGGTAACAAACCAGCCTGATGATGGTGGTAACAAACCAGCCTGATGATGGTGGTAACAAACCAGCCTGATTATGGTGGTGACAAACCAGCCTAATGATGGTGGTGACAAACCAGCCTGATGATGGTGGTGACAAACCAGCCTGGTGATGGTGGTGACAAACCAGCCTGATGATGGTGGTGACAAACCAGCCTGATGATGGTGGTGACAAACCAGCCTGATGATGGTGGTGACAAACCAGCCTAATGATGGTGGTGACAAACCAGCCTGATGATGGTGGTAACAAACAGCTTGATGATGGTGGTGACAAACCAGCCTGATTATGGTGGTGACAAACCAGCCTAATTATGGTGGTGACAAACCAGCCTGGTGATGGTGGTGACAAACCAGCCTGGTGATGGTGGTGACAAACCAGCTTGATGATGGTGGTGACAAATCAGCCTGGTGATGGTGGTGACAAACCAGCCTGATGATGGTGGTGACAAACCAGCCTGATGATGTTGGTGACAAACCAGCCTAATGATGGTGATGACAAACCAGCCTAATGATGGTGGTGACAAACCAGCCTGATGATGGTGGTGACAAACCAGCCTGATGATGGTGGTGACAAACCAGCCTGATGATGGTGGTGACAAACCAGCCTAATGATGGTGGTGACAAACCAGCCTGATGATGGTGGTGACAAACCAGCCTGATGATGGTGGTGACAAACCAGCCTAATGATGGTGGTGACAAACCAGCCTGATGATGGTGGTGACAAACCAGCCTGATGATGGTGGTGACAAACCAGCCTGATTATGGTGGTGACAAACCAGCCTAATTATGGTGGTGACAAACCAGCCTGGTGATGGTGGTGACAAACCAGCCTGGTGATGGTGGCGACAAACCAGCCTGGTGATGGTGGCGACAAACCAGCCTGATGATGGTGGTGACAAACCAGCCTGATGATGGTGGTGACAAACCAGCCTGATGATGGTGGTGACAAACCAGCCTGATGATGGTGGTGACAAACCAGCCTGATGATGGTGGTGACAAACCAGCCTAATGATGGTGATGACAAACCAGCCTGATGATGGTGGTGACAAACCAGCCTAATTATGGTGGTGACAAACCAGCCTAGTGATGGTGGTGACAAACCAGCCTGGTGATGGTGGTGATAAACCAGCCTGATGATGGTGGTGACAAACCAGCCTGAGGATGTTGGTGACAAACCAGCCTGATGATGGTGGTGACAAACCAGCCTAATGATGGTGGTGACAAACCAGCCCGATGATGGTGGTGACAAACCAGCCTGATGATGGTGGGGACAAACCAGCCTGATGATGGTGGTGACAAACCAGCCTGATGATGGTGGTGACAAACCAGCCTGATGATGGTGGTGACAAACCAGCCTAATGATGGTGATGACAAACCAGCCTGATGATGGTGGTGACAAACCAGCCTAATTATGGTGGTGACAAACCAGCCTAGTGATGGTGGTGACAAACCAGCCTGGTGATGGTGGTGATAAACCAGCCTGATGATGGTGGTGACAAACCAGCCTGAGGATGTTGGTGACAAACCAGCCTGATGATGGTGGTGACAAACCAGCCTAATGATGGTGGTGACAAACCAGCCCGATGATGGTGGTGACAAACCAGCCTGATGATGGTGGGGACAAACCAGCCTGATGATGGTGGTGACAAACCAGCCTGAGGATGTTGGTGACAAACCAGCCTAATGATGGTGGTGACAAACCAGCCTAATGATGGTGGTGACAAACCAGCCCGATGATGGTGGGGACAAACCAGCCTGATGATGGTGGTGACAAACCAGCCTGTGATGGTGGTGACAAACAGCCTGATGATGGTGGTGACAAACCAGCCTGATGATGGTGGTGACAAACCAGCCTAATTTTGGTGGTGACAAACCAGCCTGATGATGGTGGTGACAAACCAGCCTGATGATGGTTGTGACAAACCAGCCTGATGATGTTGGTGACAAACCAGCCTAATGATGGTGGTGACAAACCAGCCTAATGATGGTGGTGACAAACCAGCCTGATGATGGTGGTGACAAACCAGCCTGATGATGGTGGTGACAAACCAGCCTGTGATGGTGGTGACAAACAGCCTGATGATGTTGGCGACAAACCAGCCTGATGATGGTGGTGACAAACCAGCCTGGTGAACCAGACAAACCAGCCTGATGATGGTGGTGACAAACCAGCCTAATGATGGTGGTGACAAACCAGCCTGATGATGGTGGTGACAAACCAGCCTGATGATGGTGGTGACAAACCAGCCTGATGATGGTGATGACAAACCAGCCTAATGATGGTGGTGACAAACCAGCCTGATTCTGGTGGTGACAAACCAGCCTGATGATGGTGGTGACAAACCAGCCTGATGATGGTGGTGACAAACAGCCTGATGATGTTGGTGACAAACCAGCCTAATGATGGTGGTGACAAACCAGCCTAATGATGGTGGTGACAAACCAGCCTGATGATGGTGGTGACAAACCAGCCTGATGATGGTGGTGACAAGCCAGCCTGATGATGGTGATGACAAACCAGCCTAATGATGGTGGTGACAAACAGCCTGATGATGGTGTGACAATATTGCAATCAGATTAAGCTTATGACACAAAACTCTCATTACCGTTGTGTTACCAGAGCCATAAGGGCAACACAGTCATAAACACTAACCTAGCATACATGCTGTAGGAGGCACTGATGGTTGACACAAGGCAACAGCCCCACCTTGTTCAAAATTCTGGCTGTAAAAATAAACTATTTGTGCTCACTTTTTAAGTACTTGGTGCGAGTTGTTTGAGGGCCTTTGTTTATTCAGAGATGAAAGGTAAAATAAATGCAAGAAGCAAACTTCAATACAGGTTTTAAGTAAGAAAACTTTCAAAGTATGTGGTTACAGTAATATGAGGTGGGATATATGTGTGTCTTTCATACTATTTGTCATGCCTAGAGAAATCTCTGGTATTCATTCTAAGAGGTTGGCTGACTGTACTGCAATATCAAATGAGAGTAAACAGGGGATACAGTGTGGATAAATGAGTTTTGAGTGTGTGTGTCCATATTTCTATCAATGTTTCCATTGTAAATTTTATTATGAAGAGAGTCTTTGTTAAAAGAGTCGTGGGCTTTTCCTAATCGTAATATTAAGTTTTCTACCTCAGGTTTTATTCAGATCTGAAGCCGGAAAGGTGATGGCCATTTTGAACGTGAGAGTGGATCCGCAACCTCATGTGATAGATCAGACTTTTCGCTTTTATCATCCAGAAAACTCTTTTCTCAAGAAGTCTGTGAGGCTGCCTCCATTTCAGACATTGCCAGGTAAAGTTTCAGACTTTTTGTAAATGTAGGTCATTGTTAAAAAAGCTCATAATTCATATCATACAGTTCCACCATAGATATATGACAGCTGAAAGATTATGCATATTCTGTGTCATGACTTTATGAATTAGAATTATTGATTCCCTTCCTGTTTGTGTTTGCTTGACTAACTAATGAGTAAAGTATCAGTTTTATAACTTGGTGCATCATTGTGCTCTGCATCTACTTACAAAAACCATATGATGGCTTAACTCAGTCGTTCCCAGAAGGTTTTCTCAGCAGATGTTCAAGGGGGAAAAGGCCGCAGTGAACAACACCACAGATGCATTACTTTCATGAATAACCTTGTGAGAAACATACAAAATCATGCATGTTATAATAAGTAGCCAGGTTTCTATATTGTGCAATACCAAATATTAGAGCACATTTGCAGCAAGTCCCTGTGTGGGTTCCAGACACCCTGTTTTAAAATACATTAAAAAAAAGACCCACTGGCCCCCTCCCCTTCCAACAAGCAGGTTGGAATTAGGAAGTTCCCAGATTTTTCCCCAAAATTAACCTGGCTCACTGGTCAGCCCATGCTAAAATAGGTACCAGGTAAAGAACTGGGAAGGAAAGATTGCCAGCATTATTTTACCGCATTAGCTAGTTCATATGCTAGTTAGTCTGTAAAACTGTAAGTCTAGCATCAAATGTGGATTAACCGCTGGCATATAAAGGGTCCTTTACTTACTTTTCTTATTTAAAAATAAAAAAATTTTCTTTTAAAATATTAATGAATTAAGAAACCAGAAGAAGAACTACCAATATAAAAATTTTTTAAACATTAGCTGACGCAAGTGAAGGACTTTACAGAATTAGGGAGCATTTTATGTGTGTCAGAAAATAAAATAAAGAAATACAACAATGATGCAATAAAACCAATCAAGACAAGTGGCACCAGTATTGAAATGCACACTCTTGAAAAGGAACACTGAAAGAGCAATGTTCAACACACACAAAATAGTCATGACAGAAATTGTATATTTGTTGATAATTATGCTATTTTTAACAAGGAAAGGTCACTTAGGAATGTTTATATCAGGTTGACAGGGACACAGAACCAATACTGAAGTTTATTGATAGACAACAGATCAAATGGTTTGGCCATGTGACAAGACAGGGCACCACAGAGAAGCAAAGTTATACAGACACAGCCGTATAAGAGTCTGAGATAGACCACACAGAAGATGGACCTCAAAAATATCAGAGACACTGAAAGTACTATTTTAGAAATGAACAGAAGGGCCAGTTCCAGAGATCTTTCCTGCCCTGGTGTTGTGAGGCATTCCATGAGTAGAGAAAAGAAAAAGAATAATAGTGAAATATCTTACAAAATTTATTATTATTTACCAAATTACAAAATGTTTCATTTTTTTTTGTAAATAATATAGTCAGTATTTACTAATTTAAAAATGTACTCTAATGTTAGACTTTGATTACCGTTTTACTTTTTTGTAGGTGGGTCAGTAGGTGGCACAGGGATTAGTCAGCTGTTTGTGAAAAGCAGTGACGCTAATGTGATTTTGGACTGTAAACCTGTTCAACCGGGAGAACCATACGACATATTTATGAAGGTCAATAATATAAAATATTGATCATATTCTGTTGATATCAATTTTTTTCATTATGTTAACTGATTTATGTAATTTAAGAGACACTTTACAGACATCAAACTCAAGTTGAGAATTTATGAGCCTTTATTAAAGCCCTGTACCAAATTTGTTAAGCGTAAAAACCAAAATCACACTTGAAATCTTGTGTGAAGTCTTTCCAGTCATGAGTATCATCTTGTGTGAAGAGTCTGTCCAGTCATGAGTATTATCTTGTGTGAAGAGTCTGTCCAGTCATGAGTATCATCTTGTGTGAAGTCTTTCCAGTCATGAGTATCATCTTGTGTGAAGAGTCTGTCCAGTCATGAGTATTATCTTGTGTGAAGAGTCTGTCCAGTCATGAGTATTATCTTGTGTGAAAAAGTCTGTCCAGTCATGAATATCATCTTGTGTGAAGAAGTCTTTCCAGTCATGAGTATCCTCTTGTGTGAAGAAGTCTTTCCAGTCATGAGTATCCTCTTGTGTGAAGAAGTCTTTCCAGTCATGAGTATCATCTTGTGTGAAGAAGTCTTTCCAGTCATGAGTATCATCTTGTGTGAAGAAGTCTTTCCAGTCATGAGTATCCTCTTGTGTGAAGAAGTCTTTCCAGTCATGAGTATCATCTTGTGTGAAGAAGTCTTTCCAGTCATGAGTATCATCTTGTGTGAAGAAGTCTTTCCAGTCATGAGTATCCTCTTGTGTGAAGAGAAGTCTTTCCAGTCATGAGTATCATCTTGTGTGAAGAAGTCTTTCCAGTCATGAGTATCATCTTGTGTGAAGAAGTCTTTCCAGTCATGAGTATCATCATTGTGTGAAGAAGTCTTTCCAGTCATGAGTATCATCTTGTGTGAAGAAGTCTTTCCAGTCATGAGTATCATCTTGTGTGAAGAAGTCTTTCCAGTCATGAGTATCATCATTGTGTGAAGAAGTCTTTCCAGTCATGAATATCATCATTGTGTGAAGAAGTCTTTCCAGTCATGAGTATCCTCTTGTGTGAAGAAGTCTTTCCAGTCATGAGTATCATCTTGTGTGAAGAAGTCTTTCCAGTCATGAGTATCATCATTGTGTGAAGAAAGTCTTTCCAGTCATGAGTATCATCATTGTGTGAAGAAGTCTTTCCAGTCATGAGTATCATCTTGTGTGAAGAAGTCTTTCCAGTCATGAGTATCATCTTGTGTGAAGAAGTCTTTCCAGTCATGAGTATCATCTTGTGTGAAGAAGTCTTTCCAGTCATGAGTATCATCATTGTGTGAAGAAGTCTTTCCAGTCATGAGTATCATCTTGTGTGAAGAAGTCTTTCCAGTCATGAATATCATCATTGTGTGAAGAAGTCTTTCCAGTCATGAATAACATCATTGTGTGAAGAAGTCTTTCCAGTCATGAGTATCATCTTGTGTGAAGAAGTCTGTCCAGTCATGAGTATCTTCTTGTGTGAAGAAGTCTTTCCAGTCATGAGTATCATCTTGTGTGAAGAAGTCTGTCCAGTCATGAAAATCCTCATTGTGTGAACAAGTCTGTTCAGTCATGAGTATCCTCATTGTGTGAAGAAGTCTGTTCAGTCATGAATATCGTGTGAAGAAGTCTGTCCAGTCATGAGTATCCTCATTGTGTGAAGAAGTCTGTTCAGTCATGAATATCGTGTGAAGAAGTCTGTCCAGTCATGAGTATCATCTTTTGTGAAGAAGTCTGTCCAGTCATGAATATCATCTTTTGTGAAGAAGTCTGTCTATTCATGAGTATTATAATTGAGTGAAAAAGTATGTCCAGTCATTAATATTATCATTTAGTGAAGAAGTCTGTTTACTCATGAGTTTCATCTTGTGTGAAGAAGTATGTCCAGTCATGAATATAATCACTGTGTAAAGAAGTTTGTTCTGTCATGAGTATCAACTTGTGTGAAGAGTCTGTCCAGTCTTGAGTATTATCTTGTGTGAAAAAGTCTGTCCAGTCATGAATATCATCTTGTGTGAAGAAGTCTTTCCAGTCATGAGTATCCTCTTGTGTGAAGAAGTCTTTCCAGTCATGAGTATCCTCTTGTGTGAAGAAGTCTTTCCAGTCATGAGTATCCTCTTGTGTGAAGAAGTCTTTCCAGTCATGAGTATCATCTTGTGTGAAGAAGTCTTTCCAGTCATGAGTATCATCTTGTGTGAAGAAGTCTTTCCAGTCATGAGTATCCTCTTGTGTGAAGAGAAGTCTTTCCAGTCATGAGTATCATCTTGTGTGAAGAAGTCTTTCCAGTCATGAGTATCATCATTGTGTGAAGAAGTCTTTCCAGTCATGAATATCATCATTGTGTGAAGAAGTCTTTCCAGTCATGAGTATCATCTTGTGTGAAGAAGTCTTTCCAGTCATGAGTATCATCTTGTGTGAAGAAGTCTTTCCAGTCATGAGTATCATCTTGTGTGAAGAAGTCTTTCCAGTCATGAGTATCATCATTGTGTGAAGAAGTCTTTCCAGTCATGAGTATCATCTTGTGTGAAGAAGTCTTTCCAGTCATGAATATCATCATTGTGTGAAGAAGTCTTTCCAGTCATGAGTATCATCATTGTGTGAAGAAGTCTTTCCAGTCATGAATATCATCATTGTGTGAAGAAGTCTGTCCAGTCATGAGTATCTTCTTGTGTGAAGAAGTCTTTCCAGTCATGAGTATCATCTTGTGTGAAGAAGTCTGTCCAGTCATGAAAATCCTCATTGTGTGAACAAGTCTGTTCAGTCATGAGTATCCTCATTGTGTGAAGAAGTCTGTTCAGTCATGAATATCGTGTGAAGAAGTCTGTCCAGTCATGAGTATCCTCATTGTGTGAAGAAGTCTGTTCAGTCATGAATATCGTGTGAAGAAGTCTGTCCAGTCATGAGTATCATCTTTTGTGAAGAAGTCTGTCCAGTCATGAATATCATCTTTTGTGAAGAAGTCTGTCTATTCATGAGTATTATAATTGAGTGAAAAAGTATGTCCAGTCATTAATATTATCATTTAGTGAAGAAGTCTGTTTACTCATGAGTTTCATCTTGTGTGAAGAAGTATGTCCAGTCATGAATATAATCACTGTGTAAAGAAGTTTGTTCTGTCATGAGTATCAACTTGTGTGAAGAGTCTGTCCAGTCTTGAGTATTATCTTGTGTGAAAAAGTCTGTCCAGTCATGAATATCATCTTGTGTGAAGAAGTCTTTCCAGTCATGAGTATCCTCTTGTGTGAAGAAGTCTTTCCAGTCATGAGTATCCTCTTGTGTGAAGAAGTCTTTCCAGTCATGAGTATCCTCTTGTGTGAAGAAGTCTTTCCAGTCATGAGTATCATCTTGTGTGAAGAAGTCTTTCCAGTCATGAGTATCATCTTGTGTGAAGAAGTCTTTCCAGTCATGAGTATCCTCTTGTGTGAAGAGAAGTCTTTCCAGTCATGAGTATCATCTTGTGTGAAGAAGTCTTTCCAGTCATGAGTATCATCTTGTGTGAAGAAGTCTTTCCAGTCATGAGTATCATCATTGTGTGAAGAAGTCTTTCCAGTCATGAGTATCATCTTGTGTGAAGAAGTCTTTCCAGTCATGAGTATCATCTTGTGTGAAGAAGTCTTTCCAGTCATGAGTATCATCATTGTGTGAAGAAGTCTTTCCAGTCATGAATATCATCATTGTGTGAAGAAGTCTTTCCAGTCATGAGTATCCTCTTGTGTGAAGAAGTCTTTCCAGTCATGAGTATCATCTTGTGTGAAGAAGTCTTTCCAGTCATGAGTATCATCATTGTGTGAAGAAGTCTTTCCAGTCATGAGTATCATCATTGTGTGAAGAAGTCTTTCCAGTCATGAGTATCATCTTGTGTGAAGAAGTCTTTCCAGTCATGAGTATCATCTTGTGTGAAGAAGTCTTTCCAGTCATGAGTATCATCTTGTGTGAAGAAGTCTTTCCAGTCATGAGTATCATCATTGTGTGAAGAAGTCTTTCCAGTCATGAGTATCATCTTGTGTGAAGAAGTCTTTCCAGTCATGAATATCATCATTGTGTGAAGAAGTCTTTCCAGTCATGAATAACATCATTGTGTGAAGAAGTCTTTCCAGTCATGAGTATCATCTTGTGTGAAGAAGTCTGTCCAGTCATGAGTATCTTCTTGTGTGAAGAAGTCTTTCCAGTCATGAGTATCATCTTGTGTGAAGAAGTCTGTCCAGTCATGAAAATCCTCATTGTTGTGAACAAGTCTGTTCAGTCATGAGTATCCTCATTGTGTGAAGAAGTCTGTTTCAGTCATGAATATCGTGTGAAGAAGTCTGTCCAGTCATGAGTATCCTCATTGTGTGAAGAAGTCTGTTCAGTCATGAATATCGTGTGAAGAAGTCTGTCCAGTCATGAGTATCATCTTTTGTGAAGAAGTCTGTCCAGTCATGAATATCATCTTTTGTGAAGAAGTCTGTCTATTCATGAGTATTATAATTGAGTGAAAAAGTATGTCCAGTCATTAATATTATCATTTAGTGAAGAAGTCTGTTTACTCATGAGTTTCATCTTGTGTGAAGAAGTATGTCCAGTCATGAATATAATCACTGTGTAAAGAAGTTTGTTCTGTCATGAGTATCAACTTGTGTGAAGAGTCTGTCCAGTCTTGAGTATTATCTTGTGTGAAAAAGTCTGTCCAGTCATGAATATCATCTTGTGTGAAGAAGTCTTTCCAGTCATGAGTATCCTCTTGTGTGAAGAAGTCTTTCCAGTCATGAGTATCCTCTTGTGTGAAGAAGTCTTTCCAGTCATGAGTATCATCTTGTGTGAAGAAGTCTTTCCAGTCATGAGTATCATCTTGTGTGAAGAAGTCTTTCCAGTCATGAGTATCCTCTTGTGTGAAGAAGTCTTTCCAGTCATGAGTATCATCTTGTGTGAAGAAGTCTTTCCAGTCATGAGTATCATCTTGTGTGAAGAAGTCTTTCCAGTCATGAGTATCCTCTTGTGTGAAGAGAAGTCTTTCCAGTCATGAGTATCATCTTGTGTGAAGAAGTCTTTCCAGTCATGAGTATCATCTTGTGTGAAGAAGTCTTTCCAGTCATGAGTATCATCATTGTGTGAAGAAGTCTTTCCAGTCATGAGTATCATCTTGTGTGAAGAAGTCTTTCCAGTCATGAGTATCATCTTGTGTGAAGAAGTCTTTCCAGTCATGAGTATCATCATTGTCTGAAGAAGTCTTTCCAGTCATGAATATCATCATTGTGTGAAGAAGTCTTTCCAGTCATGAGTATCCTCTTGTGTGAAGAAGTCTTTCCAGTCATGAGTATCATCTTGTGTGAAGAAGTCTTTCCAGTCATGAGTATCATCATTGTGTGAAGAAGTCTTTCCAGTCATGAGTATCATCATTGTGTGAAGAAGTCTTTCCAGTCATGAGTATCATCTTGTGTGAAGAAGTCTTTCCAGTCATGAGTATCATCTTGTGTGAAGAAGTCTTTCCAGTCATGAGTATCATCATTGTGTGAAGAAGTCTTTCCAGTCATGAATATCATCATTGTGTGAAGAAGTCTTTCCAGTCATGAGTATCCTCTTGTGTGGAGAAGTCTTTCCAGTCATGAGTATCATCTTGTGTGAAGAAGTCTTTCCAGTCATGAGTATCATCATTGTGTGAAGAAGTCTTTCCAGTCATGAGTATCATCTTGTGTGAAGAAGTCTGTCCAGTCATGAATATCATCATTGTGTGAAGAAGTCTTTCCAGTCATGAATATCATCATTGTGTGAAGAAGTCTTTCCAGTCATGAGTATCATCTTGTGTGAAGAAGTCTGTCCAGTCATGAGTATCATCTTGTGTGAAGAAGTCTTTCCAGTCATGAGTATCATCTTGTGTGAAGAAGTCTGTCCAGTCATGAAAATCCTCATTGTGTGAACAAGTCTGTTCAGTCATGAGTATCCTCATTGTGTGAAGAAGTCTTTCCAGTCATGAGTATCATCTTGTGTGAAGAAGTCTTTCCAGTCATGAATATCATCATTGTGTGAAGAAGTCTTTCCAGTCATGAATAACATCATTGTGTGAAGAAGTCTTTCCAGTCATGAGTATCATCTTGTGTGAAGAAGTCTGTCCAGTCATGAGTATCATCTTGTGTGAAGAAGTCTTTCCAGTCATGAGTATCATCTTGTGTGAAGAAGTCTGTCCAGTCATGAAAATCCTCATTGTGTGAACAAGTCTGTTCAGTCATGAGTATCCTCATTGTGTGAAGAAGTCTGTTCAGTCATGAATATCGTGTGAAGAAGTCTGTCCAGTCATGAGTATCCTCATTGTGTGAAGAAGTCTGTTCAGTCATGAATATCGTGTGAAGAAGTCTGTCCAGTCATGAGTATCATCTTTTGTGAAGAAGTCTGTCCAGTCATGAATATCATCTTTTGTGAAGAAGTCTGTCTATTCATGAGTATTATAATTGAGTGAAAAAGTATGTCCAGTCATTAATATTATCATTTAGTGAAGAAGTCTGTTTACTCATGAGTTTCATCTTGTGTGAAGAAGTATGTCCAGTCATGAATATAATCACTGTGTAAAGAAGTTTGTTCTGTCATGAGTATCAACTTGTGTGAAGAAATCTGTCCAGTCATGAATATCATCATTGTGTGAAAAAGTCTGTCCAGTCATGAGTATCATCTTGTGTGAAGAAGTCTGTCCAGTCATGAATATTAGGAAAAGATTTACAGAAATGAACATCAGTCTTAATAGTGCTTTTGACAGAGCCCATCAACAAACATTACATCTCCCCCCGACACTTCGATGAGGTACAAGGTGGAAGAGAAGAAGAAGAAGAAGAAGAAGAAGAAGAAGAAGAAGAAGAAGAAGAAGAAGTCATGAATATCATTTTGTGTGAAGAAGTCTGTCTAATCATGAGTATCATCATTGAGTGTAGAAGTTTGTCCAATCATGAAAATCATCTTGTATGAAGAAGTTTGTCCAATCATGAGTATCATCTTTTGTAAAGCAGTCTGCTCAGTCATATCATCTTATGAGAAAATGTCAGCCCAATCATGAGTATTATCTTTTAGGAAGAAGTTTTTTCAGTCATTAGTATTATCTTGTGTGAAGAAGTCTGTCTGTGTTAACCCACATTTTGCACATATCTGCTGCCCTGAAGCTTATGGCAGTGAAATATAGTCACCCTGTTTTTAAACAGGTAGTTGATGTGTTTGAAGCTGGGAAAATCCTATAAAATTAGCAACAAAATAAGCTAAAAAAAAAAAAGACAGTAACACAACCTCAGGCCTCCATACTGGAAAATGAAAGGTCAAGCAGACTAAATATCCTTATCCAGGTTGGTGGATATGGGAGTGAAGGCTGGAGCAGCCAGACATGAACATTTTACTAAGGGTACTGTTGTGTGCTAAACTCACTGTGTTGTTCAATTGTACCAGAGGTTAGAGACATGATCGCCTTCGCCAGTTGTAACTGCGCTAGATGATGATTTCTGACTGCAATTGCATGTTGTGGAGGCATAGTGACATTGGCACAGAGTCAAGTCAGGTATTATGTATAGGTTATTAGTGACCCAAAGTGTGGGAACATAACTGAGGTGTTTATTAAAGACTACTGGTGACTCCAGGAATTGGCCCCTAAACTGAAGGTGTTTATGTTGTGCACTCACGTCAAGCTGAGGCAAGGTGTCACCCTTTGAGGTGATACTGCCTTGGAAGTATATCAGTTAGTTTCTGGGGAGTATTAGACAGACAGTAGTTATGTAATCACCAATTCATCTTTGTCACATTGTGTTTGTCAATAAAGGGATTGATAGAGGTGACTTTTCACGTATGTTGTTGGCACTGTTGTTGGTGGAACGATGTGACTTTGTGTAACTGTGTAATCTAAGCACTCTCTGGTAGGGAACCCAATAAGTCGGCGCACAGTCGACTTGGGAACTTTCAACACCTCTAGACACTTCGCTAGATATGCGGTCCATACCCTCGGACCGCATACATCAGGTACAAAATGTCTGTTTAATCAACATAGAACGGGCTTGATCAGTATTTGACTCTTGTGGAGCTAATGTGTCAGAGAGGGGAGCACCTGTGCATTTGTCTAGAGTGCTGTGATAATAGGAAGTCTGTTCAGTCATGAGTATCAACTTATGTAAGGAAATCTCTCAAATCATGAGCATCATCTTGTATAAGAAAGTCTGCCAAGACATAAATGTTATTTTGTGTGCGAATTCTGTCATCAGGCATATCATCTTATGTAAGTTAGTCCATCAAGACATGAATGTCATCTGTTATAAGGAAGTATGTCATTTATAAATGACCTGCCAAGCAAGCAGTGCAGACAGTATTGTTCTCAAAGTGTATGACTCCTGCTAACTAATTTCTCCATTAAACAAAAATGCTTCTACCAAGAAATGAAGCTAACCAGACTGGCAAGACCAACTTCTAATTTTAAAAAAGCATGCATCAAAGCCAACAAGCCATTTATGCTTAACATATTTTGACACAATGATATGAGATCTTTAAACTCTTTGTAAAAACTGGTCTTAAGCTGTTTATTCACTGAATGTCTTTAAGTAAGAGATTGACTTCTATTGTTCTAGTGTGGAACAGTTTGCATGGTTTTGTTTACAGTTTATCTGCACCTTCTGGCCCAGCATATCCAGTTTTAGCAAAGTCTTATAAAACAGTTTGCTAAAGAATATTGTGGCTAGGAAAATTATGTTTTATCTTACATTGCCAGGTTGCCCTAGGAGCATCACCTGTGATCAAACGATTTTTTGTGTGCGCATACATTGACCCCTTCTTGTCTCGACCGGCTCAAATATGGCAGTGCTATGTGCATGCCCTGCAGCGTGTGGATGTCACATGTGTTGAAGGTCAAAGTTCTCATTTGAATCTGCTGCTGAAGTGAGTAGGCTTTTACTTTTCGCTACACGTGTTCATGTGCCATCATTAGAATTCTCCATTGTTTCAACATTTTATTATATATGTTCATGTGCCAGCATCAGAATTTTCTTTTGCTTCAACATTTGAATGTATGTACATATTCAAGTGCTATGTGCCATCATCAGGATTCTGTATTGCTTCAGCATTTCATTAAATACATTCATGTGCCATCATCAGAATTCTCTATTGCTTCAAAATTTCATTATATATGTTTATGTGCCATCATCAGAATTCTCTATTGCTTCAAAATTTCATTATTTGACTTCAGGTCAAAATGGACGTTAGGCAGCGGCACTGTTCAAAACAGAGGCAAATTTTTTGCTTCTGCTGGACGGTGGCCGATGCATTTTTGTTCCATTTGTAGACTGGATATAGTCTCATTGCCCAACTTCTGAGTTGCATGCATGGCGTGACCCTGTGAGCTGCGGATTGCATTTGGAATGTTTTTTCGACTGTGACCAACGTGTTGGTGTGAATTGTAGATTCAGAAAATGACGTGATGCCTGTCGTGCAGTGTTGTGGTGCCCGTATGTGATTAAAATTGATCGCCTGGGCAACTGCTGATCTGTTGGCGACTTCTGCTACCATCAATGATGAACTGCAATTCTAATACTGTGATAAACATTCTGTGTGTTTTTCATTGGCACAGGAGCGGAGCAAAGATGGGGTGACCCGTTTGCTATGAAGCTGAAACTAAGACTACCAGACTACCAGATTATATATGTTTATGTGCCATCATCAGAATTCTCTTTTGCTTCAAAACTTCATTATATGTGTTTATGTGCCATCATCAGAATTCTCTATTGCTTCAACATTTTATTATATATGTTTATGTGCCATCATCAGAATTCGCTATTGTTTCAACATTTGATTGTATGTAATATTCATGTGCTATGTGCCACCATCAAAATTCTCTATTGCTTCAACATTTCATTATATATGTTTATGTGCCATCATCAGAATTCTCCATTGTTTCAACATGTTGTAATGTATGCTATGTACCATCAAATTGCTATGTGTTTCAACATCATTATATTCTCTACTGTTTCAACATTTCAACATTCATTGTATATGTTCATGTGCCACCTTCAGAATTGTTCATTGTTTTAACTGTTCACTATGTATATTTATGTGCCACCATCAGAATTCTCCATTTTTACAACTTTTCGCCATGTTCATGTGTCACCATCAGAATTCTCCATTGTTTCATCTTTTCACTGTATATATATATATATATATATATATATATATATATATATATATATATATATATATATATATATATATATATATATATATATATATATATATTCATGTGTCGCTATAAGAATATGTGTGTATATATATATATATGTATATATATATATATATATATATATATACATATATATATATATATATATATATATATATATATATATATATATATATAATATATATATATATATATATATATATATATATATATATATATATATATATATATATATATATATATTATTTATTTATTTATTTATTTATATATTCATGTGTCGCTATAAGAATTCTCTGTTGTTTCAACATTTTGGACATTTGGGACGAAACAAACCATTGCATTTAGACTATGATCGGGACACAACAGACTCTACAAGAAATTCAAGATTGGAGACAAAGCTTTGCCCACGTGGACTTCTTCTTGTTGTAGCTCATGCTGTGTGACGTTCGTAGTCATGTCTATTCACAACCTTCAGTCTCATGTACATTTAGCCAGTTCTGACAGAGTTGATCTTCCAAGCCATGTTGTCAAACTCTCCAGCATCTTCTCTCTTTGTTCCCCTCTACCTCTTTTTTTCCCCTCCATTTTTCCTGTCATTACAGTTTTCTGCTTGTCTTGACATGACCAAAGAATGTAGATTGTGTTCTTCTGATGTGGACAATCAGTTCTCTTTGTGAGTCAGTTTTACATTTCGAGGAAGGTATAAGGTTCTGCTTCTTGCTCTTTTGGCTGCTTTGATCATAGACAACTTGACACTGTTGTAGAGTTTCACTGATGTTATCTAGCTCTTTTGGCTGCTTTGATCATAGACAACTTGACACTGTTGTAGAGTTTCACTGATGTTATCTTTCCACCTTATTCTTCTTCTACCCTGTGCTAAACAGACAACACAAAATAGTGAACCTGTGTTGCAGACCTGCTCCCTGGAAGATCTCAGGTCAAGAGTTTAATATCAGGGAAAGGTTGTTTTCTTTACATTCACTGGATGTAAACTCTGGTAGAAAGTCTTAATTGTTCTTCCATTTCTGGACTTTGGTTTTTGTTTGTTTGTAAGTATCCAGAAACCATAAGTTGTTAACCCTTTGGCCCGGTATTATGGATATCACAACCCTTCGGCCTTGATTCCATGATAATGTGGGAGAAATGTTGCTTTTCTGCCTACCCCGGGGTGTGAACCCGGAGCACATGGAGTTCGTCACCCAGTTGCCGCGTAGTCAGCTTTAACCAACTACGCTAGTGAGCCGGGCCACATTTGGCTTTGTTCTAGGACCTAATTGTTGCTTGTACATCTGTTTTTTTTTTCCTAATCTTTCTTTTTTGTGTGCAGTCTGTTGTTTCCTTGCCTTTCTGGTGGATGTACTTCAACTTTTACTAGGTGACTCGGCCCACTGACTTCACTCATTTTCCAAATGGGTTTTCAATAGAGGTTAACATGCATGCATTGGGCTTGTGCTGATGAGTGCCAGTTATTCTAGACCTGCATCGCTGGTGGCCACCAAATCCAAGATTCCTTGCCAGCTCAGTTTAAGCCAATATAAGCCATAATCAATAGCAAACAGTATAGACATATGGCCGGAGTTTGAGTTAGGTTCTTTAAAACTGCCACAGAGTATGCTGGAATCCAAGGACAGGTACGGGGTAGTCGCTTCTGTATAGCACAACAGACTTTATTCCCATCATATCTGTGACCAGATTACAGAATAACGAGGGAAAAAAGAAGAGGATGAAAACTGGTCACATTTCATGATGTCATATTAAATCCTCTTGCATCACACTATTGTACAGGTACCCTCATTAAACTTGACTGATATAGTTTATTGATAAAGTATGACTGCAGTTGGTATATGTCTGCAATTTAATATCTCCAATCATTAATATGATTATATTTTTGTTTAACAGAGGCACTCAAGCATCTCGTGTTGTCAAATGTTTCTCCTCACATCCTCAAGAACTGCAGATTTCACCTCAGGATCCATTCATCTTGGCAGCAGGAACAGCTCATGAGTTGTCAGTAGCTGTCAGACCTCTGGTAGCAGGCAGCAAGTTCTTCTACCTCAACGTTGTGGATATAGAATACCACCAGCTGGTCAGCTCATGGCTCATCTGTGCCTCCTGTCGCTCTCCTATTGTCTCAAGGGCATTTGAGCTCACCTTGCCAGTAGGGGGAGGTAAGAGTTGCAGTAAGCGTATCAGCTACACCAACCCCTACCCAGTGGCTAAACGATTCCACCTGCTCTGTGACAGGAATGATTTGCTTCAGTTCAAAGAGTCCATCCTGGACATAGACAGTGGTCAGTCTCATGCCATTGGTTTGCGGTTCATGCCGGTCATGCAGCCTGGGGCTGCAGAAATTATGGTCTTTATCAACAACGAGGAAGACAAGAATGAAGAGACGTTCAGAATTACAGCCACTTATAAGTTTATGTAGCAAATCATAGTTGGTAGGACATTTTTTGTGAATCACTGAGTGATTTTTGCCATAGGTAGTTTTCTAAACTGTGAAGTTATATATTTGTAAAGGAATTAATTTATATTTTATGTTTACTGTAATAAAAAATATCACTGTTCTTGATTGTCTGTTCTCATGCCTTTATTACAGTATCATGAAGATATTTTCTTGATACATACATTCCTGTTTTAAAAAAAAGTTACTATTATCATGAATTTTTTACAGATTATTATCATTCATATAGTTTTAGTTGGTCATTGTCATCAAGGGGAACCGAGGTAGCCCAGAGGAAAAAATGCTTGCATTCTGATATGAGTGTCGATGGTTTGAGTCCTGTCAGGTGTTGAGTGGTCTTAAAACTGGTGTGAAATTATGCTTTATTGTGCTTTATTGAATTCACTCAAGTTTTTAACCATTTCGCCCCAGCAACCCTTGGGAGAGACCCAAAAAAAAAAGCCGTAGATGCAAAAAGAATAACTGCAGTTAGTTAGGCTTCTCTGCAACAAGTCACTTCAGTTGTGTCATTTAAACGGCATTCACTGGATTTAGTCGCAGACGGATGTGCCGGGCTTTCTGCTTCCTGGGGCAAAAGGTTGAATAGATCATTGTCTCCACTCAGGTTTCAGTAGATTATTGTTCTTACTTAAATTATGATAGGTCATTATTAAAACTCATGTTTCAGTAGATCGTTAGCTTTCAAGGTTTAATACATCACAATCAGCACTCAAGATTTCATATGCATGATAAGGCAGATGTGGTTGGTGCCTTGTGGGAAAGCGTGTAAAGTTCGGAGGAGCAGATGGATCACCACTGTCTGGTGAGGTTAATGCAGGGTGGAGTGATGAGAGGTTCTGGTAGATGCTCGAGGCTCAAAGGAAAGGCAAGATGGACGTTTAATCACAATGCTACTAGCACTATTAATGTCAGAAGTCTTCGCTGGCTGCTGAAGATGGGGATGGAGCGCTTATGGGAGTGCCCCGAGTGCTGTGATGTCGGTTCTTGAAAAAAATCAAATCAAATCAAATCAAATTTTCATTCTTAATTATCATCATTGAATCTTCGCTTGACCATTAACATTCATTTAGTAGATAATTTATCATCACTCACATGTCTATGCATCTTTATTATCACTGACGGTTTAATAGATAAACTCATGTTTCAGTAGATCGTTAGCTTTCAAGGTTTAATACATCACAATCAGCACTTAAGTTTTCATACTTTATTATCATCACTAAATCTTCACTTGACCATTAACATTCGTTTAGTAGATAATTTATCATCACTCACATGTTTATGCATCTTTATTATCACTGACGGTTTGATAGATAATTATCACTTCTACTGCCATTTATTCCCCAGTGGAGCATTAGCCCTCAACAAACAAATCTTCTGCAGTTCCCTACATGTCCTTCCCCCATATAATTCATCTGCCTATAATGCTCTTCTCCACATGCTTTTAATGTCCCTCTATTTATTGTGCCTTGAAGCTTCCAGACAAATGATTTTCCAGTTATACTATGCGCAGCTCAGCATCTAAATCATATTAGACCATTTAGTACACTTTCTCTTTGTCTGACTATGAGTTAGTGGACTCTGTGAGCAGAAAACCTAAACAGTGAAACATGCAGAAAACCTAAACAGTGAAACATGCAGAAAACCTAAACAGTGAAACATGCAGAAAACCTAAACAGTGAAACATGCAGAAAACATCATATTGTGTAAATGGCTTCTGGTTCTGACATTGATAGGGAATGGATGATGGTTGAGAACTTGGCTTATGTTTTCATCGCTGTTTCTCCTCCAGTTTCAATGTTGCAAGAGTGTGGAAGTCAGGTTTGCAGCCAGAGCTACTGAGTTTAGTGCTCCTGGCGGCACTATGAGCTGTGATTATCGGTTATTGACTGAGTTCCAGATTTGAACATAATAGCAATGATGGGTGATGTATTTTTCTTCGTTGTGTTCCTGGTACAAGGCCTGTGCTATAGCTGCTATTTATTTGCTGGCCATGGCTGCAACTTGGCTGAGGACATGTGAAGAATGGTCAGGAAGAGTTTTAATCTACTCATCCCCCAGCTATTCGTCGAGTAAAGTTGATTTTCAGCGATGGCGCCTGGTCTCGCAGTGTGTTTAAGGAGGCATGCACCTTATGGTTTGCCAGATCAAATCGTGTGTGTTTTGCTGACTGAAGACACTTTGTATGGCTACGGCATTCATTTGAAGTATCCAGCATATCTGACTCACTTTGTGACTGGAATCGCTGGCATAGGCGGTTGAGCAATTATGGGCCAAGCTTGTTTGCTGTGATGCCGGAACTGTAATGACTAACTAACTAACTTATTGTGTAAAAATGTAATAAATTACAGAATTTGACACTGAGTATTAAGGTAATGTTTAAAAACATGTGATAGTGATGAACTGAAGAGAAAAGTCAACACTAGGTAAATTCATTTTGACCTTAGAACTATATACTTAAATCCTAGAATATTTCTTTAAACACTAGAATGATTTATTTTAATCCTAGAACAATCTATTTTGACCCAAGACTATTTATTTAAATCCTAAAATAATTTCTTTAAAAAAATCCTACAACAGTTTATTTCACTCCTAAAATTTTATTTTTTAAACCTACAACAATTTGTTAACAATCATCATCATCATGTGACCTGCCAGCTGGCGTAGGCGCTTATGCCTCTCTACAGATCACGATCCCTGGTTGACTGGAACAGCTCTCTCGATAATATCCTACCATGCCATCGTTTTAGCCCATCCAGCATCATCTCTCTTGGTCTGCATCTACTCCTTTTCCCACTGATCTTTCCAGTTGTCATGATGTTCTCCAAAGTCTCTCTTCTCATTATGTGGCCAAAAAACAGTGTTTGTCCCTTTCTTATTGTATACAGAGATCTACTTTCATATGCCTCTTTCAAGCAATAGTTGTTAGTTACTCTAGCCGTCCAAGGTATTCGTAACGTACGTCTCAGAAATCTGTGTTTTCTCATGAGATTTCTTAGGAAAATAATGTGGTGGTTTCCCGTTGCCTTCCACATCCACATGGGGTATTTTTTGTTAAAAATAGACATTGAAATTAAATTAATTTTTTAATGGAACAAGTTGAAAAATGAATTAAAACTACTATTCACACAGGAATATGCATAAAAACATGCGCACACAGACACAACATGTCTGGAATAGCACGATGTCAGTAAACAGGAAGAAGCATGACTGTCTGTGTCACTCAGCAAGATACTTCGTGATGCTGATACATGCAGATTCATACACACCATGTGTGAACTGATTTCAGTACTATATAAACATTTATCTATAATACTGACATTATTTATGTAACTGTTTTATGTACCACCAAATAGAGAAGTGTGAATATTTTGTCTTACTGTAACACCATATTCACTTTGTGTGCCTTCACTCCGTCCATAGTAGTAACAATGGCTGCATAAGGTCTTTTGCAAGCTTTTCAACTATTTTTGATTAAGAGAACCTTAATTTGTTGGATTTATCAATAAAATATATTTAATATTTTTCTTCACTGACATTGCTTATTTGTTAACTCTCTCACTACTAAGAAACCAGTGTTTGTTACTCTGTTACATGATATGCTTTTGTTAACTCCTTAGTGCTGATCTAGCTGGTACATTAATTCCATTCTGACTCAACATTGACTCATTCTATCCTTTAGTGTTATTGTTTGAACCTTACAGACCTAGACTTGTCTTACTTCAGTTAACAAATATTTAGGATGTCTATTTCTTCTTTGTTTGTCCTTAGAAAGTTGGTTGGCATGAAGTGGTGGAGTTTACAGCAATGCTGTGATATCTGCCCATTTCGATCCAACGCATCCAGTAGCAGCAAACCCCTGATAAGACACCTTTTACAACATGCTCCTTAGGAAGCACTTGGTCTGGTCTCTTCCACTCACTCACCCCCCTCCCCAAATAAGGCCCCAGAACCCTTCACCACCCCAAATGAGGCCCCAGAACCCTCCCCACCCCTAAATGAAGCTCCAGAACCCTTTGCCACCTCCAGAAGAGGCCTCAGAACCCTCCCCCACCCCTAATGAGGCCCCAGAACAAACATGGGAAAGTTTAGGATATAATAAGTTCAAGCATGGCCTGCCTTGGACTGAAAGAATTACAACTGTTAATATCTGATATATTCTCATGAATCTTCTCTACATTTCAAGAGCTTGATGTGAGTTACTTTATAGCAAACCTGCTAAATAATAGTGTTTATTGTTTTAGGTATCTTGCCTCTCTCTTAACAAATATATCAAGAGCCATTACAAGGTGATTAAAATTAAGATGAAGCAGACAAAGAATTAAAAATAGACACTAAAATGGGAAAGACATCCAAGAGAATCTCTGTGATGAATTTTAAAAAGAGAGACCAGATGAATAGTGAAAAGAGAGGCCATGTGAATATTGAAAAGAGACGCCAAAGGATGATAAGTGAGAGGCTGTCACCACTGAGCAGCTGGCATCTGCTGAAGAAATCCTAATGTTCGGAAGTGAATCACGGAAAGTTATACGATTAGCAGAAAACTATGTTGAAGCTAAAAATTTTTTTATTTTACTGTAGAAGAATTTAAGAACACCATGGACACAAGCATGTTTGAAATATCTTGAAATAGATAAACTGACAAAGAAAACTGACTACCCTATTAGAAGTAGAGTCTACATTCTTGAGGCAGGCCTGAGAAGCTGGGAACTGGAGTGCATCATGACGTGGGAATGTAGAAGGGGAATAGAGGCAGAGGAATTAAATAATAAAATCAATCAGTCAGGTGCAAATTAACATCAGAGGCGCTACAGCAAATCAGATACTGGGACAACTAGTCCCTCTCTTACAGCATAAGACAATCCCAATCAGCACAAAGAAACATCTCATGCAAAACATATTCATTCCCATCCTATGCCTCCAGTGCCAGACATGGTCATTCACAACAACAAACCAGAAAATAAAAT